ATACTCTTAATATCAAAGTTGCCCCTGTTTCAATTTGTTGGCCAAAAAATATGAAACACAGACAAAAGCTATGAAAAAGAAAGTGCTTGACATGGGATGAAAAGTGAGACATATGATGAAAAGGCAAAAGTCTATAGCAGAAATTAATTCACTTCAAGAATGGAGGCAACAGCAGAGGCACCAGATACACTCCTTTTCCACTTGATGTAATCATGGATGACAAATTATTATTATTACATTAAAGGTCTCCACAAAACTTTACTATCTTTTCCTGCCTCCTCATCCTAAAAATTACTTTGCACAGAAGGGTGAAATACCTGATCTTTTATCATTATCAGGCAGTTTCTGATGATAAAAAGAGATTGCACTGCAAGGCAAAATTCTGACAAAAGTTGCTGGCCTGGCTTACACTTGAATTAAAATGACCATGAAATGACCAATCAGTCATTTTTCATGGAGTCAAAAGGATACTTATATAACTAAGTGCAGTGATAAGAGATTGGTCTCTTACATCGAAAAGCATTAACCAAACAAAGAAAACAACATTTTTTAACTTAATCTGTCCATTGTCCCTAAGCACATTAGATTCAAAGCTGATTGAGTTTGGCATTAATTTTATGCCCTAAGAAACCAACCAATATGTAAGTTATTGACCAAATGAACAATTATGAGCTTATCATAAAGGACTAGTCTGTGTTAACAAAGCATGCAAAGTCAAGGGAGGATTAACAAGATGAAGTAAAATTAGGCCAAAGTTCCAAAATAGTTGTTGGTCAAAGCTTATTTTGTAATTCATTCTAACATTTATCATGCTGGCAAGGTAAGGCAGTTTGCCAGAATTTTAAACAAGATGTACTTAGTACTATTTAGTCTTACAAATTTGTGATCAGGGATCACAATATTATGCTATTCACAAGAGTACTGTATTCTTATCATTTTGCATTAAATTTTAAATAAATTATACTTCATAATAAATATGCATATTTTTCCAAAAACCATATATAAATTCAAAAAAGTTACAATAAGGCTGAAATAAGGCTATTAAAATAAAAAGCATAACTGCAAAAGCATTAAGTTTTAAATTTTGATTTTTCATTTTATATTACAGTAGAGCATCAATTATCCAAATACTGATCAACCGAAAGCATTCCAGTTGGCAAATTCAAATTTCCAATAGTGCTGTGGCACTGCAGCACTCCCTCTCCCTGCCAACCTAAACTGTAGGCCTACTTTAATGTACTACTTTATATAAGGTATATATTTGTAATTTGTGTGATACAAAATATATACAGTATAGTTTTGTATTTAATATATTTTTTTGTAAATGATCAGTTATCCGAACAATCCCAGTCCCGAAATGTTTTGGATAATCGANAAATAATTTTTAAAAAAATGAAGGTGTGTGTACTATATATATATATAAGTACACACATCTTCATTTTTTTAAAAATTATTTTACAACATTATTGACTTTTCTTTCTGATATTATGAAAAAAGTTTTTTAATTAATTTTTCATTAATTTTTTTACATAAATTTCTTGTTATCAGTAATATTTATATCTTTACTTGATAAAAATTCAATTTTTATAACATTCAACAAATAAGCTGATAAGTTGAGGAAACCAATAGGTTTACTTGAAAAGTAATGCTTTTGGACCTATTGTTCCATCATCCTTCATGTAGAACTTAGAACAATTAATAAATAGAATTGACAGTTGAATTTAGAATAATTTACATTTGAAATTTATATAGAACAAAATTTAAAAATACAACTTAAAATTAACAATTTATAGAAATAACTTAGCAGTTCATTTGTTAAATGTTGTGCCAATTCAATGTTTATAATGAACTTTTATTGATATATTTCATATTTATTAATTTATGACTTTTTGTTTTTAAATTGAAATTATGTAGCAATTTGAAAAACTTTACTTAAAAGCAGGGACAAAATTCCTATTCTCATGGCATCCTCCTAAATGTACTATAGTAAATTAATTGCACTATCCCAGTCTCTTGAGCTACATTCTTTGGGAAATTTACTTTAGTCCATTTTCTTATTTTTACTTTCTACACTAATCTTAGTTTTTCCTTTATTTTATTCAATGTTTTCCTAAATTATAAAATTCCATTACCCAGTCTTGAATAAAATGTCTATTTATTCCTTCATTTCACTATTTTTTAGGAAAAATTTTTTTATTATTATTCTTGATAAAACCAAATTATTTATCCAATAAGACAAATTTTGTTTATATCTACAATAGGTTCTAAATCATATTCTAGAGCTCAACCTACATCATAGTCTTAAAAATAACATGATTATTAACATATGCTAATAATATACTAGGTTTGTTTGCTGTTAAAGTATAAAAGATAAAAATACAAAACAAAATCATTTACACACAATTAAAAAAGTTAGTTAATTTACAAACTTTTTCATTCTTTAATAATTGACTTTATCAGACTATACAAATTGGAATATGAAAATGGAATTTGAAAATTATTTGAAATTTGTTTATGTTCCAATATACGTAGCATAACAGTTTGTTACTAAGAAGAAAAAATACTTAAAAATGAAGAAAATATTGATTTAATTGGTAAATTAGATACAACAAAAGCAATTTAAATACTGTTCTGCATTTTTTATTTAGCTACATATGCTAATAAATTATAACTGACAACATAAATGAACAACACCTTAAAATTTTCATGTTAGAAGTAACAATTGTTATATATAATNTACATTCTATGGGAAATTTACTTTAGTCCATTTTCTTATTTTTACTTTCTACACTAATCTTAGTTTTTCCTTTATTTTATTCAATGTTTTCCTAAATTATAAAATTCCATTACCCAGTCTTGAATAAAATGTCTATTTATTCCTTCATTTCACTATTTTTTTAGGAAAAATTTTTTTATTATTATTCTTGATAAAACCAAATTATTTATCCAATAAGACAAATTTTGTTTATATCTACAATAGGTTCTAAATCATATTCTAGAGCTCAACCTACATCATAGTCTTAAAAATAACATGATTATTAACATATGCTAATAATATACTAGGTTTGTTTGCTGTTAAAGTATAAAAGATAAAAATACAAAACAAAATCATTTACACACAATTAAAAAAGTTAGTTAATTTACAAACTTTTTCATTCTTTAATAATTGACTTTATCAGACTATACAAATTGGAATATGAAAATGGAATTTGAAAATTATTTGAAATTTGTTTATGTTCCAATATACGTAGCATAACAGTTTGTTACTAAGAAGAAAAAATACTTAAAAATGAAGAAAATATTGATTTAATTGGTAAATTAGATACAACAAAAGCAATTTAAATACTGTTCTGCATTTTTTATTTAGCTACATATGCTAATAAATTATAACTGACAACATAAATGAACAACACCTTAAAATTTTCATGTTAGAAGTAACAATTGTTATATATAATAGGAATAAAAATTTAAATTTCATTTTTTGGACCTCCAATTTTATTTAATTGATGAACAAATAATTGATAATTATTTTTACCATATTCAAGATTTAAATATTTAAAAGGTTAATAAAACATTTTAATAAATCTGGTAACTTATAATAAAAAAAAAGTATAACTTATCATTATCTTGATTATTAATAAAGATTTTTTTTACACTATATTTCAAACAAATTAATTTTTATTCATAAAAATAACACATTAAGAAAATATTTTATCATAATTGAGATATTAGAACAAACTTATCAAAATGTAATCTATTTAAAACAGAAATTTGAATTTGTATTTTTATATTTAAAGCATCTAAGTCTATTTAAAAATTTATCAATAGTTTTTGTTCTTTATTATACTGATATAGATTTATTTAAGCTTAGCTTTTCTTATAAAACATTTTTAATCAAATAACAAAAAGAATGATAAGTAAAACAATTTTAATTCTACATTTTCATCAATTAACTTAACAATAAGCTCCAAAACATAACAGAAATAGCTAATACATGTAAATAGATGAAAGAGAGGAAAACATTACCTTTGTAAACAAAAAGCCATTTTAAGTTGTTTTGCACATCAGTATCAAGCCAATTAAATTTTGAAAAATAATTTTTAAATTTTATTTTTACATTATTGATTACAGTCTAATGAAAAATTCAAAGATTTAGCAGTAAATTATATAGCAATGACTAACCATTAATTAAGTTAATTTATATTATTGAATTTATAGCATGCATAAATTTATTTGTTTTTTAACCATTAACAATCCTAGTATAATTAGCATTCACTGCCAGCATTATTGGTGTGCTATAATTAACATTCAACATGCCTTTTTTGACACTTTGGCATCATTTAATTTATTTGCTATAAAAATTTAAAGATAAAATTAGCTTAAATATAAATTTGAACAAAAAATAAGCTAATTCTAAANTATCCAGATTATATTTGTTTGAATCAAAAATTAGAGAAGAATAATTATTATTTTAATTACCAAATAACTATTGCCTTGTACATTTAAATCTAAGTTTTTCAACTAACTTTTCAGTTAGTGAAAAACTTAGATTTAAGAAAAGTTTCTTAATAATTTAACATTGAAAAATGTTAAATTAAGAAATTAGCATTAAACTTTTATAAAAAAGTCAAATACTTTGTGATAAGTTTTATGAAATAATTATTTATGGTATGAATATATATTTCGGTTTTCACGGAACTTTTAAAGTATTTATTTACGTCATAAATAAATATTTGATGTAATTGACAATTTTAAGAAACGAAGACACAGAATACGTCACACTACAAAGCAAAACTTTATTAATATCATGCGAATAAATTTTAAATTATTAAATATTTATGTAAATAATCGACAAATTTGAATACGATTTTTAAACTTTTCTTAATACCGAAAAAGTGAAAGTTTTAGGAATGAGCTTATTTTTAAAAGTTGGGTGATTTAAATAAAGTTTCCAAGTAGTTTCTTTATTATTTAGGTGTTATTTATTAGAAATTTCTTACCACTAATAAATTTCTGTCTCCGCAGGTAGTGTCCTTCACAGACTTGTGGTCGTTTTTTCGTACTTTTTTAGCCTTAGACTCCAAGTAACGTTGCTTGAGAAGCAATGTCTCATGACGCTGTTGTTCGTACAGACCGAGCGCTGTTTGGTTGTAGCGAGGACTACAATCTTCTTGGTGGCGACGGTAAAGTTCTATCCTGCGGCGAAGTCGGTCGACAACAGTTTGGCGCCGCGAAGGGAGGATTTCTTCCATGAGAATGGCTTCTACGCATTCATCACTTACGTTAATTCAGTATCCAAAGACAAATATCTCCTTGTCAAAATCCAAATCGAACTTTCCGAGTAACATTCCGACAATAATAACGTTATTATGTCGAATTCCCAGCCGTATTGTCTCATTTCTCACTTTATCCCCGAAAGTAACACTTCTTGGCCTCTAAATATCAAAAACATTCCATTAAACGTCGCCGAGTGAAGGAATTGAAGGGGCGAAGGGGAAGGGGGATGGTTTTCGCTGCCAAACGATCGCCTTCTCACGCTTCGACTAGTCCGACATCCGGGACACGACGTCAAACAGGATATGACGTCACCTTTACGAACTGAAAGACGGGAAGCATTCGGTTTTTGAATCGGACACGTGCACGGTAGCCATTCCTCAACATGTGCATTTGCTGTGGTCGTGGCGTGTCTTCCATACCTGATCGTTTCGATATCATCGATTCTAAATGCGGCAGAAATTTTAATAATAAAGTATAAATAAAATTTCGAAACAGCGATTACGTAGTGTTTTAAAGTAACTTCTTACCGTAAAATATCGTTAATTAATATATTAAAATGAAGCTTTCTGAATTTATTTATTAAACAATTCATTCGGATAGGTAACGATGGAACAGTTTTTATTCACGAATTATCACAAATAACATTAGTCGTATTGATTTGTTTGTTGTTCGAGTTAAATAAAAAAATTAACGTGATACATCGAAGAAAAAGTTACGTCCTTGAAAGAATAAAACTTTTCCCGGCTGTTACATACATTTCTCAATACAAGTCTTTTATCTTTTTTAGATTTCACAAACTCATTTTTCTTCGAATACATTTTATTGTAAATAACTTATGTCGGTATTTATTTTAAAATTAATATACGTTAACAAAGATTTAAAAAAATAACAATAAGAGATGATAATGTAATTTGAATATTTATTATACGACTAATGTCTTACTTAATAAAAATTTTTATCGATAAAATGAATCATTTAAAAAATTATATCGATTTTAATATTTAAAATTAACGAGCAATTATTTATTGTGACATCGTCACAATGCCGGGCTACTATTTNTTTGTAATGAAAGTATCTATTCAGCATACAACGTCAACTAGCAAAACTATGTGCAGTTTTTGAACACGTTCGATGTTTCTATTGGTGGTTTTGCTAATTTGTAATTTCCTTAAAAGCTACCAGTGTTTTTTCATTCTCCTCCCTGATTTTTTTTCCAGGGACAAATGGCTTTGCTTTGGATGAATTTTCTTTTCCAGTCCATTTTTATGAAATTATTAGCAGCGATAGCAGGCATTGCCCGGTTGAAAAGTAATAACAACAACAAATATTAAAGGAACAGCTAGATTCTTTTATTGCGCTATTAGGCAAAGTAATTACCGATATTTAGAGACCCCCAGATGTATTGCCTATACTAATTATATTTATTTTGCTCGGATATTTATCTAGACTAAATATATAATAAAGTATCTAATAAGTGTTTTTAAATTATATTTTTTGTATTATTGTTGTTTAAATTTAAGTTCATTTTAAAGAGAGAAATTCTATTTATACAGAATAGCGATATTTTTTAAATTAAATGCTACAATTTGTTTATAAAATATTCTTATTTTAAATCCTAGTTAACTCTCAGTGCAAAAATTTATGGAATGAAGATGTTTCATCAAGTATTCAGATATATAATACAAATAAATTAGGAAAATGCTTAAATATTCTGCAGAATGTGAGTAAATATTTTAAACTGTTTTTATATTATCTCTAATAGGTAAATTCACAAATTTGATCAAATATATCACGTTATAATGGTCGTGACAAATCTTCAAATTGATTCTGACATGATAAAATTTTATTATATTACATATATCGATTGTTTGAAAAGTAATTTTTGAATGTTAATCTTGACCAATTTTGGTATTTTTTAAGATCGATTTTTATTCCGGTATCAACGTGTTATAAATATTTATTTCAATTGGCATGATTTGAATAAGAATTAAATTACATCACAAAGCATAGCAGCAGTATATTCTCTTTATTTACTGCCTAGTTTCTCAATGAAATTTTCATGAAATATCCAATAGTTACCGAACAGTCGGTAGAATCTCCAATACTTGAGACTTATGACATTGTAATAAAAGTAAATATAATTGAAATTTAATAATCTAAACTAGTGAATAACAGTAAAAAAATCATTATATTAAAATAAACATCGTAATTTCATTTAAATCAAAATCAAAATCAATAATGAAAACTAAAATTATTAACGCCAGCGAAGGTTAAGAAACGCAATGTTTAATTTTGAATCGTTGTATTACAGTCATCCGAATATAAAATATGATGACGAATTTACGAACAATGTAGATTAAAAAATATATATTAAGTTTATCTAGAGTCTACAAGCGAAAGATCACTTGTATATCGTTAATAATTAAAATAAATAGCCAAATTTACTTATGTTACAAATTTTGTACAGTGTATGATTAAGGTAGATAAATCTACGAGTGTATTAATTTACGTATTACATAAGTTAAAATGAAAATACATCACGAAGCAAGAAATAGTGTAGTTACATTCGCTCTAAATAATAAGGGGGAACAGCGTGATAATGTGTCAGCCTTAACAAGACATTTTTATGTTTTTAGTGATCATATGCTGATAGTTTAATGAATGAAAAATACTTCAATCCAAAATAAACCTTTAAAAGTGCATTTAAAAATATTAAAAAATATAATTATTACTTTAAACGGAAAACTTAATTTAATTACTTCTAATTTATTAAATTTAATATGAATACAGATTGATTAAAATAGATTTAAATATAAATGTTTAACAACTGAACTAAATAGACCTATAATAAAAGTTCCGATTTTTGAAAATTTTTAGTTAATGGGAATCTAATTGAAATTAAATGTGATGACAATGTCTTGAAAATTAAGAACAATCTATTTATATATACATATATATTTTAAAAAAGTATTCTAAAATTTTATTTTTATTATTATTTAATTAAATATTTCATTAAACCGAATAATTTTGAATACAATTTAGAATAAGGCATAAAAATAATACGTCGAACGATTAAACTTATAGAAGAGTTACGCAATAAACAGGAATTTTTAAATTCTGGACGAAAATAATTGACGTCACTCGGTTACCCCTTCGTTCAAGTGATCCCGTTTAAAAAGTCACGTGATAGTTTCTGGTTCTATCAACATCCGGGTCACTAAAATCTTAAAAATGAACTGATGTCAAAAAATTTTTTTGAATTATTCGAGTAAAGTAATATAAATATATTTTTTTCGTTCTAAATTATGTTCCTTCATAATAAAATATATAAATATATTATTTTTAATATAAAAGAATTATATCGCAGTATATTACGACGTCATATACGTTGTTAGGCCTTTATAAATATTCTTATTACGCGGCAAGTTAAATATATCATTGTTAAGTAATTAAATAATTTTTAAAAATAGAAATAATCCAATTTATTAACAACAACGCGATATTTATTTTTACCACTACTCATCTGGATGCGAAATTCCTATAATGACGTCAACAACGTATTTTCAAATTCGTCGCACGTGACCGGAAGATTATACATACCTTATTATTTCCCAATTTTCGAAGATTTAATAAATCGCTAAACTGGCAAAACGACTGACAACAAAATATTTAATCTAAAATTTATATAAAAATTTTCCAGATTAGTTTTGATAATAATCTCTAAACTTAAATGGCATTGGACATTCGCCAAACTCGGTTTATTTCCATTTTATATTCTTATTTCGTAGTGAAAAATTTCCTTTATCCTTCGTGTTAGATTTTTAAAAGATAAATCACGTACGTGTATAAATATTGGATTTTTTATTTTTACTTTTATTTTCGGAATTTTCGTCTCGAGCGAGGAGGAGAAGAAAAAAAGAAAAAAAAAAAAAAAACCAAGGACCGAGTTCTTCGCGAGATCATTGACATTAACCAAAAACTCATTTGGTATTCCAAAACAGAAATGTTAAAGCACTAAAATATTGTTAAACTATCAATTCATAATTCACGTAACTCTTAACGTATCGTACATTAATTTGACCGTCTTACGAGCTCTGACGTTAATGTACACGTCACTAGGTAAATTTATGCATTACAATTATCATAATTACGACGAAGCGAATAATTAATCTTCGTTTGCGATGAATAAAAAAAGCTTATTAAGTGATTATAATGCTAGAACATAAACTACTTATACCTACGTAACTAATTACTAGAAATATATTTAAAAAACCCAATATTTTTAGTATATTGCTATTTTAGTCTATATTTTTCGATAATAATGGCTGACTTTTATTTAAATTTAGTAAAATATTTTATTGTTGTTATTTTTTAATATACGTATATTTTTAGTGACGTAGGAAAGTCAATAATTTTGCATTGTTAGATATGTTATATGCAACACGATTGGTCACTTCGCATTACGTCATCCGTCTTTTAGCATTATAAAATTTTAACTTAATCATAGACATCAAATTATATTGAAAAGTATTTTAAAATTTTTACTTTAAATTTTGCGTTATTTATGATGGCATTTCCAAATTAATAATAATTTAAAAAATCGGTAGTTTTCTAATGAAAAGATTTATCGTTAACATTTATTATAAAAGTTTACACTGAATTTGATTTTAAATAATACATCTGGAGAATGTTTACACAGATGACATTGCATTCTACAAAATGCTCGCGTATCCTATATACAATGTTATAATTTATCAATAAATTAAAAAAAAAGAGAGAGAGAGAGAGAAATAAAGCTTAGATGTTTACGATATCGCCATATTTATTAAACAATATAACGGAGTGTATCTGGTTCGGATCATAACTTTAAAAAGTGTTTAGAATGGCGGAGATATAATGTTACTTAGTTGTGAGGAAAAGAGGATCCGGTATATGTAGAGTGAAGCATCGTCTTTCATTTCCGTTTTTAAAAATTTCCATATCACATTTTTATATATATTTAATTTATGGTTGAATAGGGAGGTGTTATAAAACGTGATATGGAAATTATATGTATATATAATATACGAATATATACATTTTATAATATATACACCAACTTGTACCGTTCACATAGAAATTGATAATTAATATCATTAACAATTATACAACTGCAATGTAAACTTAGTCAGCCTAATATCCATATAAAAAAAATTATTAAATTACAGAAATTGCGGAAAGTAATCAGTTATAACTTTACACTTGTTTAACTAAAAATATATATTTTATTATTTAATACGATACTAACAATCTAAAATGTTGATAGAAATGATTTCCATTTACACGTTATGCATCAAAGACCCAAGGAAAAAATTCTAAAACTTTTTTCTGCTGTAAATAAATTTCACAATAAATTTTGATATTTTACCATGGCGAAACATAAATAATTATAATTTAAAAAAAAAAATATACATATTATATAGGCCCAAGTGCTGTATATATACAGTAGATTTAAATATTATTAAAGCAGCGTGTACTCTCGGGCAATGTTTTATACTGTACCTCATGAACTATTATATTGTAAAATCCTCTGTGCTAATTGAATAGACGTTATTGGGTAGAATAAAATAGAACTGTTTATAGCCAAATTATCGATAGTCTTCGATTAAATCAACGTCGAACTTTTAAACTAGATCTTCGGGACAATAGTTATAAATTCGAAGAAAGAAAATAAATTTGTCAGAATTGTCGCCAGTGTTTTTATACACGTCGAGAAAAAGCCCGTGGCGAGATAGGCGATGCATGCATATGGAAAAACTCAACAGTGAGACTTCTCGAGTCTTCTCTGAATTGGATATATAATATTTCAATCGTCATATTATTCTATGAATAAATCCAAAGTTTTCTTCGAATGATTATTCATTTTATATTCAATAAATGAAAAGTTTGTAGGCGTATCGATTATTTTTGTGTAAAACATTTCCTTTCTTGTTTTTTAAATTTGAGAGATGTACAAGTGATGTGACAGATCAAAGATTAAATAGACAATTTTAAAAAAATTATACTTATTAATACGAATGAAATATTTTTTATACCGAAAAATAGCCTATATTGTTAAGCTCGAGTTGATTTTTAATGAAGTAGTTCTATAATAACGGAGAAGACATTAATAAGAATTTATTTATTACAGCATTTAATAATTAAACTACCGAAGGACGAACGCTTTAACAGTGGATCGTATATTCGCTTTGGGTTCGATTCCCGCTAAGGTTTACATACTTCATGCTTCTCACGTTTATCGATGCGACTTAAAAATTTCAGGAAGCGGAAAACGGGTCAACAAGCAATATTTTCCATCGATTTTCTTAATAGATTAGAGAAGAACCATTTAAAATTGTAGAATACAAAAGAATCTTTTCTAAAGGAATTACATAAATACACAGTACTTCAGTCTTATAACGGATGTTTAATTTAGCTTAACTACGAATTAGTCTTATCGTGATTAGACTGAGTCTAATCACGATAAGACTCAATTTTTTGGGAATTTGATACGTTAAAATTAACGAACTCGCCATCCATTTGTTGTAATATTTAGGATCAAATTTTGTATTATAAATTAAAACGGATGTTATTTCAAGGCGATATAATTAGGATATCCTCAAAAGTGTCCTAAATCAAACCCGACGCTCATGTTTTAAACATTCTTATACAATAGACAAGTTATGCATTCTATCATTTGTATTATTTTTTTTCCAATTAAAACAAAAGGAATAATATTAGATATCTATAGACCGGCAATTGAAATTATTTCCTATAAAATAGAATAAATTCGAAAATTTAAACTGTATATAACCAATTTTGTTATATATCCTGCTCTCTTCCCTAGTAAAATGATCCCATCAGACGTCGATATTAGATGCGGTTTCGTGCTCGTAAACGGCACATAAATCTATGTTCATCTACTCCAGTACACTACATTCGTCAAATCAGGGTATCGTGAACTATGCTTAAGCCTGAAGCAAATGTCGAAACTGGTAAATTAATGGTAACGACGATAATACGAGTATAATTCTCTCGGAGTCAGATGTAATCACTCGTATACTCGATTTTAAACTTTCCTTTAGCGGGACTAACACAAGATATAACAGCAATGGTGTGTTATAATTAAAAATAACTTTAATATCCACCCACTTATATGGTTTGCAATTTTCGGCGAAGTTTATACAGCGGTTACTTCGCGTTTCTTCATATCGAGATATAAAAACAATCATTCATTTACACTGTTCAAAGGTCCTCTCTCCTACGTGTCTGGAAAACGTAATCCTTTAGTTTCCTGTGATTATGACGTCATCAACGATTACCACTATACACGGAAACGGACAGTGACGTCATTTCACGAAAAAACTCGACCGTGCAGCGTTTCTTCGCCGTTTTTGAAATACAATAGAACTAATAAACGGTCTCATAAATTATGTTAAAATGCTGAACTTTTCTAAGTTTTAACCGAACAAAATTACGAATTTCTTTCATCGTAGCTACTTTTCCTTTTTCGAATAATTAGTATACTGTCAAGTAAAGAGCAATTAATTATAGTTTAGAAAATTAGCAGTTAGTAAACCTTAATTGATTACACTAGAACCGTATCTAATTCAGTTACGTATAGATTTAAGATAATTTTATTAAGAATTATTTAAAATCGTATTAATGGAGAAGGGTTTAACTTTCTATTAACGGGCCAATTACAGGAAGTAGCGTCGTAGCGTCTCGTTTGTCAAGTGCATCGACCTTTCGCCATGTTTAATGAAGACTTTGTTCATCTCGGACAGAAATAGGCCATTGCCATTAGCCATCGTTATAATCACGATAAAAGATTATTCTTAAACTCTAAATGACTTCAAATGACATGTATGCGCCTCACTTATTACGTCTGTGTTTATATGCATTATATAAATTTACTGCAAATTTCCAAAGGCAGACATAATTCATAATTCTATAATAATAGTTCTAACAGGTAACACCTTCTTTTAGCCATCACGATCTAAAAGAAAACCGTACCAGTTCTGTACCAGTCTTCCACATAAACAATTTTCCCCCCTTCCAATACTGGTTGTATATATGCCATCCAATCGTGTAGCGTGTACAGCAGATGTAAATATTGAAACAATCGATGTAATGAACTCCGTTTAAAAATAAACATTTTCAATATGGCAATAGTGACATTGTTCGGATTAATGTCAAAGAGCGTGTGAAATTTATTCTCAAAGAAATATCACATGCTTTTTCACTATGTCACTTCAACCGCATTAATTCTTGATATTTTTTCAAATTTAGCTTTGAATTCACTTATTTGACCACATTTAAAGTCCAAGTTTGTTCCAATTTTTAAAAGTAATCACCGTTTCAATTGTTTATTTTGATTTTAAACTTTTAAGTTATAAAAATTACAAAATTTAAGTTTTTTCTCTGACATTTTAAGATTTAATATTCAACTAAATATCTGCTACTTTAATTTTGTTATTCACATTTCTCTTAATGTGAATTAATTATCTCTCTATCAAGTTCTGTTATGTACAGTACAACTAACTGGGACATTTATGGTGAAAACTGGTTGTGATGTGCACCACTGACCATCCATTTGGCATGTCAATATACCTTGAATTATTTCCAATTACATTATATAAACTGTTGATGAATAAACTAGATTAAAATGATAATAAAAATCACAGCAAATTGTTTAATAGTTTTGATTTCTTGTTCTTTCGTTACAAAATTTTTAAATTATATATTGATTGATTGATTGATATAAAAGAAACAAAAATAAATATTTGTCAAATAAAATTATTTTATTTAGTTTTCTAATTATTTTATTCAAAATTTATCAAAAGGGACAATTTCTCTTAAAATTTGAATGTCAAACAATTATATCCTTCAAACAAAAACAACATTAAAAACAAAAAGACATGACAAATTAGATTTTTTTTTAAAAAAACTAGGATATAATCATTTAATTAAAGCTTTTCCTTAAAAAAAAAAAAAACACTAACCACCGTGGGATTCAAATCAGTAATATTATATACAATTACATAAAATCTTCCATTAAACCCATATTAGTTAAATTTCCTTACTAAAACAGTGGATTAAAAAAAGTAGTGTTGTGTTTTCTACGTTTCTTCTTCACGATTCCTTCTGTTTCCAGTATATTTTCATCATTTCCTAAAATGCTTTTTGATTCATTTTCTTCGGTTGGAGACAATCTGTTAAATAGAAAATAAAAATTTAGTGTTCGTATTATTAAAATTCATTATGATATTGTTACATACTGGAATGGTTGAACAAAGGTATCCTTTGTAGATTTGGAACTTTTATCTTGTGCTGCATTTTGTTCTCCTGATGAATTAACATTGAATGTTGTATTTAGCATTGTTTCTCCTCCACTTTCCTATTATTAAAAAAAATATTATCATTAATTGAATGCATTTTAAAATAACTATCAAGAGTTTTTGTTATTTGTATTTAATATTACAGGCAATAAAGATTCATTGGTTTGAAATTTGAAAAACATAACTGATTACCTGAGATACTGGGGAAGAGGATTCGCTGCGGTTTGTGCAGTTCTCTTTATCGCATTTACAATTTTGAGTACAAATTTGATTATTTCGTCTGCAGCCACATATTTTGCTTCGACATTTACCATTGCAATTACATTTTCTTTTCTAAAAAAAAAAAAAATATAGAAAGTGCATGGATACTAATCATCTTTGTATTTAACTTAATAAAAGTTAAAGATAACAATAATCACTGCAATCAACCAAATGTGGAAAACTGAAAAATAATTGGTGCTTTAAACATAAAAGGGGAAAAATTAAATAAACTTAACTATTGGGTTGTTCAGAAAGTAATTTTGTTTTTTTATTACTAGAGGAATTAGATCTATTTTTACCAGCCAATTTCATTTTAAAATCACATTTTCATTATATATTTTGACAGCTGACATTTAAAGGCTTATTTGTAAAAACTTTTGTTTGATTCTTTACAATTTTTTTTGGTGTCCCATCAAATATTGAAAATCAAAAGCATCATTTTCGGCATATTTTGCTTTTTTATTACCAAAAAATCAAAATGCTGTTCAAGCAAAAAAAAATTCTGGTATATGTATGGAGAAGTTGTGTTGAGAGAAAGACAGTGCCAAAACTGGTTTACAAAATTTTGTTCTGGCAATTTCAATATTGAAGATGTATTATGTTCTAGATCAGTGTTTTTCAACCTGTGGGTCGCGACCCCCAGGGGGGTCGCGGGTGAAAGAAAAAGACAAGTATTTGTAGGTCCTACACTACAATAAAAAAATCTAGAATTTCAGTGAGAAGGCTGTGCCTGTTTATTTTACAGTACAATTGGTTTTTCGATCGATATTTAAAGAAAGAAAATTAAATATGTAGTTTTTAAAATCACCGAAATAGTTTTAATATAGCCCTGGAGGGTCACCGGAAGTTTTTAACTTGTAAAGGGGTTGCATATTCAAGAAGGTTGAAAAACACTGTTCTAGATGACCAGTTGAAGCCAATGAAAAAAAATAAAGGTACTGATTGAAGCAAACTGCTGAATAATAACACATGAAATCACTAAGAGATGAAATTTGTCAAATTGAACTGTTTATGATTACTTGAAACAAATTGGTTTTGTTTCAAAGCTTGATATA